TGTATGAGTGCTTCAGGTGTAGGTAACTTAGTTTTCATTGATGGAAATATGAATCAAAATGTGTATTTAACCATTCTAAAAAAAATCTGAAAGAAAATGCCCACAAATTGGAACTTACTAGGTCATTTATTTTTCAGCAGGTAACAATCCAAAATATACAGCCAAACGTGTCACGGAAGGGATTATATTTAAAATAGCTAAGCAACTTCATACACCCCCAATATAGCTAAGCAACTTCATATACCCCCAATATAGCTAAGCAACTTCATACACCCCCAATCTCCAGATTTAATTCCTATTGAACATCTGTGGGATGAATTGGGTAGTATAATTAGGACACATGATGCGAGGAAGCAACAACTACAATTAGTAATTATGAAAGAGTGGGGCTCAATCACTATAGATATTATAAAAAAAAAAGTTTGTACTATGAAAAACAGACTACATGAGGCAATAAAAGCTCGTGGTGGAAACAAAAGTTATTAAAACACTAACAAGTTGAGTTCGCATAACAATTTTATTTGATTTTTGTAAATTGGATGAAAACTTTTTTGGGACAAAAATGTCTATCTTTAATTCTAAAATACTGTATTTTATTTGTTACTCATTACTTTTAAAAATCTTTTTGTACAATATATCTTAAATGTTTAAATGATAAAATTTAGTTTATCATGCTTACATCTTTGCTGAATAAAAAGTCATTGCATTTTTAAAATGTGCAAGATAGGTGGATGAAAACTTTTTTTACACAGTGTATGTATATATATATATATATATATATATATATATATATATATATATATATATATATATATATATATATATATATATATATATATATATATATATATATATATATATATATATATATATATATATACTATTTTAATATATATAAGATTATATAATTTATAAATAAAATAATATATAAGATTTTTTTTATAATTAATCTTATTAGTTTTTTAATATTATTACTATTTATTTAAAGTTTATAAGCGACGACTTTAAACAACAATTGTCTCTTTAATAAACTTTATTTAAGAATCATTAAAGTTAATACACTCGAAAAGATTTTGTTGAGAAGAAAAAAAGACAAACTTTTGAATTAAAAACAGCCGTTTGAATTAAATAACTTTGATCTTTACTAATGTTATTAAAATATTATTAAAGTAACAATTATCTGCTTATGATTTTTTGCATTAAAGTATTAATGTATTTTTCTTTCATCTGAATTAAAAAATTATCGATTAAAGTTATATTATAATAAATACAATATTATAATATTATATTAAAGTTATTCACTCGAAATATAACAATTTTTTTTTTGCAATAATGTAAATTAAAAAAATATATAAATATAAAAGATTTCATAATTTTTTTTCTTCAATCTTTAAATAAAAAAATTATCAGTTAAAGCTAACAAATAAAAATTATTAACAAATTAAATTAAATTATCAATTAAAGGAATAGTTTTGTTCATTATTTTTTGTTTTCATCTTCATTTTTCCATATTTGCTTTTTTTATTGGATTTCTGACAAAAGAAATGATTTAATTATTTTTCTTTTGTTTATGTTACTACGAAGAATTATAATTTTTTGTTGTTGTTGTTGTTTTTTATCTTTTAAATGTGAGAATTTATTAAAAAATCGTTGGAAGTCATTACTTTATTTAAAAGGGTTTTGCTTAGTCTATATAAAGAAAAAACATATTACTTTTGTTCGTAAGTCAGTCATCATTTTTGTCAAACGCCTTTCCCCCCACCCTCTTGAAAAAAAAAAAAGCATTATTAAAAAAAGTTTCCTTGTTAGGTTTAATTGTTTTTTTTTTAAATACCACTAATGCGTGATAACGTTTTTTATAAAAACAAAAGTGTTTGTTTACGTTTTTTGTTGATTAGTACTTCTTATTTTTTATTTTTTTACTATTAATATAATATTATACGGTGCGGTAACAAGGCAGACGAGACACTACTAGTTTTACGTTATAAAAACATTAGTAAGGATTCAAAGTTATTTATTTCAAACGGAATTATCTTATTGTTTATTATTTATTTTAGTTAAGTTTTGTTTTTATTTTTGCTTTAGTTATTTTTTACTAAGCTAATTTATAATTATAACATTTTCCAACATCAGACCCCCTAAGTAAACTATTCAATCGAAATACCATCAAAGTGAGTTACAGCTGCACCAAAAATATCAAAAGAATAATAAAAAGCCACAACAAGAAAATCAGTTCAGAAAGACCAAAAGAATACCCACCCTGCAATTGCATAAATAAAGAAAACTGCCCTATAATAGGAAAATGCAGAGCCTCTAATGTTATTTAAAAATGTATAGTATCAACCCCCCCCCTAACACTCCAGAAAAAGTATATATTGGCCAAGCAAAAGGTGAATGGAAGAAATGATGGCCTAACCACAAACACTCATTGACAAACAAAAAGATGAAAAATTCAACCACCCTTTTAAAGATATATATGGCAGATAAAAGAAAACTTAAAAATAACACCCAAATTAACCTGGTCAATAATTAAACATGTCCCCGCCTACAGCAATGTAATAAAAAAATGCTTGCTTTGTCTTCATGAAAAAATTTGCATAATATCAAAGGTACGCAAGAATTATTAAATAAAAAAACAGAAAAAATATATAAGTGCCATCACGAAAACAAGTTCTTGCTTGACAACCACAAGCCCAAAGATTAAAAAACCAAACCGCTCGAAAATAGTAACAGTTTTATAAATGTTTTTGAACGTCACGATGTTTATTAAGAGAATATTTTTTAATGAAAAAAAAAATGTATGCCATATATGTATAGGTCTTTACATCCCACAGGTAAAATCCTACATGAATTTGAATTTATTTTATTCAGTTATCAATTATTATTAAATACAAATCATAAAAGTAAAATAAAAAAAACACAAATGCGACTTAAAGGTTTGTTATTTTAACCAACAAAATATGGTAATAAAAATTGACAAGAAAGAGGGGAATAATGCTCTTTCGTTCTGACGATACCTGCTGCAGTGGTACAGCGGTTTATTTATATTAAATGATGTTTAAATGCAATAACTGTTTTCTCATCAACTGCACTTTGTGTAAGTTCGTTCCAACTTTTTGTGACTTGGTTTGTGAAGAAGTTTTCACTCACTGCGCAGTGCTTTACTAATTGTGGCTCAAGTTTATAGTTGTTTATGTCCACAAAGATTACAAGTGGCCATCAACGCTGGTTGCTTTTGCCGCAAATTTTATTTCTTCAAACTTGTGTGTGATTTATAAACAGTTCTCAGGCATGCTGAGAACTGTTTATAAATTTTTAGCAAAGTTCATAATACTATTATGAATAAAACTCTTCATGATATTACAGAGTACTGACATATTAATATCCATACTAATCTTGTTTCATTTGTACTGGTTTTATAATGTCACAGCAAAAGAACCTAATATTAAACGATGAGCTTGACCCCTTGGGGTCAACCCAAGTGGATCTCCTTCTGACACAGAGATGATTCGATCAGGATCATCTGTTATAATGAGATCAAGGGTATTTTTTGGTGGTAAATTTTGATTTGTTCGATATGTTGGGAAAGTAACTAAAATTTCCGCTAAGGCACGAATGAAACTTTAAGTCAGTAGAGTGTTCGCCAAGTACATGTCCGACAGTTACAGTAGCACCATTTGCATCTGTTGACTCGTAATAGGTGTAACTCAAATTAAAATCTCCATAGAGCAGCATGGCTGAACAATTAAAGCAAGTTAACAATAAATACTACCCAGAAGATTCTTTTTCAAATTTAATAATTCTCCTAACTTGTTCTATATCATTTGTGTTTAGAATTTGAATATCAACAAAAGTTTCAATTTCATTTTGCGCGTAAATTGCAACACTTCCTCCCCTGCAGTCTCTATCAAAGTGTTTTTTTGATACTGTAATTTTTTCTTAAATTACATCACTTACATTATCGAGCGGTTATCATGATTTTATTTATCTATTATTAAGAGTTAGAATTACATAACAAAAGAATTGCATAAGTATTAAACTCATTCATTAAAAATAATTAACAAAGAAATTTTTAAAAAACTGGTGACACTCTTCCTGAGTGATTTTTCATAACATTCATGAAAGTTATCAAACTGGAAATAGTTTTTTCGCAAGACCAAGAGCAACTTTAGCAAAATATTTTAGTTTTACATCTTTATTATTACTTAATTGAGTCATTGGTTTGTCGAAGTTTTTATTTACACTTTTTACGTTTATGCGTATTGCTTTATTTTTATAAAATTTTAAAATATTTAAATCTTTTCTAAACATCTATATGTCAACCAAAATAATAGTACATAAACAAACAAAAACAAAAAAACAAAATAAATAAATTTAATACATATAAAAAAAAAGTTTTTTTTTCAGTGCGTTTTTAAAATGGATCATTTTTAATAAATGCAAAAAAATCGTGGCCATGTTATCAACAAATAAATATATATGCGTGGCCATTCAAGGCGTGTGACCGCACACGTCTCCTGAGAAGGCCTGGTATATATAATATATAACAACTTGAACATTTTTAACAAATGCTATTACTTTACTTAAATTGATTCTTAAATTGGACTTTTTAATCAAATTTTTATAATCATTTATAGAAATTTGACTTAAAAATGTGTTTTTTTTGCTTGTGGCTCTTTGTTATTTTATATTTTTGGTTAAAATATTTAAAGAATACCCAAATACTTTGATGATCAAAAGCATATTTTTGAAACAAAGAAATGTATGTTATAAAAGTATATGTTTATTGTTATTAAAAATTCAGGAAATTTTTATCCCCAGTATGTGCATGCATGTGTGTGTTTTAATGTTTACATTCTTAATCACTCTTTCACTATTTTTAACATATTTTATCCTTTTTTAATATCCCCTGAATATCCCCTGTGCATTTAGCAATTTGCAAATTTACAAATTTGTATAAAACTTTTATGAATTTTAAATTAATTTTAAAACTTAAAAACCTTCTGATTCAAGTACAGTAGCTCGCTTCCTTCTTTCAGCCTCCACTTGCATTTGCATAGATTCTCTCACTTTCTCTGGCAATTGAATATCCCCTGTTAATAATAATTACAAGAAAAAATATTTAATGTAGTTCCAAAAATCAGTCAAATAAAAAAGGTAAGAAATATCAAAAATAGCAGAAAAGAGAGATTAATAGAAACAGCTAAAAAATAATGATCAGGAAAAGTTTAATAAAAACTTATTTTGAATAAATGAGTTTTGGTTTATGTTTCACAAAAAAGATTAAAGAAAAGAAAAATTTGTAGGGAAAAAAAACTATTTTTCAGAAATCTATAAACTTACTTATTTCATATCTCAAACATCTGATTCCCCAAACTTTTGCAGCACTGTTTATTGCCTCTTGGTTTTTTTAAAAAATTAAATTGAATTAAAACAAAATAAAATGTCTTGAATTAAGAAAAAAAAATTCTGCAAAACACCAAGAAAAAAATTAAAATATTTTATTTAGTTATGGTAAACAGTCATATTTAACAAATAAAAAAGTAAAAAATCATACCAACAATCATTAAATTTAAAGTATCTCTTTCCTTAAATACC